AGACAGAGATACAGACAGATAGAGCAGCGCCACTCGTGTCTCCAGGGAAACCCAGACCTTTATAACATGATCAGAGTGAGGGAATTCTGGGTAGGCGGCAGAGCAACAAAACTGCTTTAAAAGCAGACTGCCAAATCACAGCGAACTCTGATTGAAAATAAAACAGATAAGCACATATGGACACAGAATGAAGAATTCAACGCTCAAACGCAGAGAACATCGGTTTGAATACATTCCTGTTATCAATGGTAGAACATGTGGTTAAAAACACCCAAGGTCATGAGTAAGATAAAGTTTCTAGTAAAATAAAATAAAATAAAATAAAAACTAGTAATTAATAAGGAGGAAATAGTCCGCAAATATGCTTATGGTTGTTGTGTACCATTCTATAAAGGCAAAAATATATTTACAAATTAACAAAAAAGTAAAACTGGAGCACTTATACACTTATGAGTGAAGCGACATCAGAGATCATCTGGGTTCATCTGGAGTTTATGTACAAGTCTAAATTCTTGTGATCTGCCCTGAATCTAATCAAGTATCACATAGACTAGAGGCTCTGAAAGTGAGCGTGACGTGATATTTTTGCACCATTTATGACAATGCAAGCTGGCAGAGAGATATGCATCATGCTCTGATTTTTCATGTGCTTCATCACACAGTCCATCAACACAGCGCTGGATGAATTGCTTGTCATTAACACACAATAAACTCACCAGATCCTCATGCTACGTTACCAGCTGAAGTGTGTTTTTCTCAGTGCAGAAGATGCAGGCTGACATGAATGAAGCGGAGCAAACAAAAGCACCTGATTTCTGTGAATAACAGCTCTGGCTCTGCGAGAGAGCAGCACATTCACACAGATTAGCCGAGACCCGGCTGCGCTCTGAGACCAAACGGCACAAAGCAAACTTAATCAAAAGCTGAAATCTGCAGGGGATTGTCCTGCCTTTCACTGCTGTTTACATGACTTCAGTGTCAGCCGGTTTGACAGAGCATCGATAGCGGCGTGTGAAAAATGTACACGCGGCCTGTTCTACCTTCAGGATGGGGTGTACTGATCGCCATATCTTACCGAAAAAGTGGCTTTGGGTTCCTCATATGCTGTCAAACGCAAACGCTGCGGAGTTAAAGTGTTTGTCTGTGATTGCATAAACAATAAATACTGCATAAACAAAACACTGAACACTGACAAATCTATAACAATTGACCATTTAAGTGTAAATAATGATCTTTGTGGTAAGATGGCATCAACGCATGCCTGAGAAAACAGGATTTCATAACCATTTCTCTGACTATATAATAAAGACAGAGCTTTTCTGAACTGCGTTTCATGCCGTCTCCACAATTGATTTGTGCGACTCAGCTTGTCGTCGTCTTTGCGGAGGAACACGTCTTCAAAACACATCTGAGGTAAGATAAAGCATGAGACATACTTTATTCCCTGACAGGATGACAGCTGCTGTAACTCATCTCATGCAAATGTCCTGACCTGACATGAATACGTGAGAAAAAAAATAAAACATTATTAAAAGCTACAGTCAAAAACAACAAGATTGATGCATTCAACAAATGGCATCAAACAGCCTTCACATCATGTCAGAAATGCATTCGGGTTGTTTTACAAAACGGTCTCTCTTTAATGTGTACATAATGACTTTTACGGTGTCATCACAAGCATTTTTCTAAACAATATCAAAAATGCTTTTTTGTTTTTAAATGTGTTTTTCTCTAACTTCTGTTGCTGTGTGTTATTTTAGTATCACTGAAATGGTGTTTTAGTTTATTAATGTTTATTTAGTTTATGTATTAATATTTTGAATCAGTTTTAATTTTATGTTCCATTTTCATTTCAATTTTAGTTAACGTATTATTTTGCTGTGAATGTTTGCTAGGTTTTATTTTTTAAATGTCTATATAGTTTTTTTTGTTTGTTTATTTTAGTATATCACGTTAAACAACATTAAATAAGAAATGTTGCAACTAACTGAAATATATTTGTAATATTTTATTTCAGGTAATGTTTATTTTATTTGAAGTTACAAAAATTTTTCAGTTTTAGTTAACTATAACAACTGCTGTATTAAACATACTAAACACACACTTATAAAGATATTTTCTGTATTAGAGTTAACAATAAATAAATGTGTATTTATAAATTACTATTAACATTGAATTAATCTAGATAAATAAATACAGTAAATAGCTATTGTTTATCTTTAGTTTGTGATAGCTAATGCATTAATTGTTAACGAACTGCACCAATTAATTTATTAATTTATATTGACAAATACAATATGCTTGGTCTTGTACAATATTTAAAAACTTCCAGGCTGATCTTTTTGAACATGAAAGGCACCAGTTTTAATAACCCATTTGTAATTTGTAGATGGCAACTCATAAAAGGCATCAAAACTTGCTGCCAGCTCTCTCAAGATGAGACAACCATGAATCTCCACACATTACTGACATGCAGGAAGCTACAGAATCATGTTTATCCAGCAAACACACACATCAGCAGATGTGTTGAATCTATAGCTTTTCTGTAGCAGAGATAGTTTGACAGGTTTGTTTTCCATCCCTGGTCCAAACTATATGGAGTTACATCAATACCTCACATCTGTTCTGCTCACGAAAAAGCTCATCAGCGGCTGTCTGTCTTCTCTTCTGTCTGAAAACACATCAACACACCAGCCTCTCGGTGTCCTTACATTTCTGTCCACGTCCCTGAAGAGAACGAGTCCTTCAATAACCATTATGCAACAGAAGCGTTTATGTGCCGAGAGTAACTATATACGACGTGCAGCCGGATCAGACAAACAGGCTGAACGCTCGGACAGCTGCTCAGACTGATGAATATTCATCACACACGCGACAGAGAACAAGTCAAAGTCAAACAGGAGAGGCACAAAACTGCTCCCTTGTAAAATCTGTTCCAACAATTTTCAACCAATGCATTTCCATGATTACTAGAAAAGTTTATATCCATTACAGACTTTTCCAGGCCTCTAGAACACACGCAAAAGGCCAAAACATCCCTATTAATGGTATAATGTAAATCAGTGGTTAAAGAATCAGTGGTTAAAATTCATTTTTTCCACTGTACCACAGCAGTACAACCCCAATCTGTATTTGGACCGACTATTTGGACCAGCTGGCTCCACTGAATCACGACCTGTAAGTATGATAAATAATAGATGTTTATATTTTCTATCAAGTGTTCAAAATACAGAACTATGGCGATGGCGTATCATTTCTGACATGCGTTGTAGGCGGTAGACCATTCACAGCAGACTGGGCCTTCTGACCAATCAGGGCAGAGAAGGCTCTCGGAAAGGAGGGGTTTAGAGAGACTGAATCTTAGAAATGCTTCAAACGAATCGTTTGAGAATCATTTTGACCCAGAGAGGATTTTCTTTTTTTTAAAATTTGCTAGTTAATGTTTTTGCGTAGGGCTGGGTTTTGACACAAATTTCACGATTCGATTCAATTCTCATTCACAAGCTTGCGATTCGATTCGATTACCAATTCAAATTTTCTTAATTAAGGAAAAAAAACCTCTCGCTTCAATGTTGCATCCATTAACTGAAAACAGGCTAGACTAATCGATTCTTTGGATTTAAGAATCGATATCGTTTCGTAAAAATGAGAATCGATTAAAATCGAGATATCGATATTTTTTTACCCCGCCCTATTTTTGCGTTAGGCCAAAATTTACTGACTTTGCTCATACAGGGTATAATAAAAAATGTGGATAATTTGTGTTATTTAGAATTTTTTTTTACCATCTTCTTACACTTGTAATGCTGAAAAAATGACCCGCCTACAAACAAATTGCTTGTAAATCTCTCATTTGTTATATTTTTACAAAATACTGGTTTCAGTCTTATCAACTTGTTTTCTTTCAATTAGCACAGGGTTTTGTATTTCTTTTTGGAAATAGCTTATTGTAGGACTCATTGATATACATTTTTAATTGAACACTGCCAAAATTATCCACAAATAAGGTCTATGACCAATCACATCCAGAAATAAATACACAAGCTGTGCTAACTGAAAGAAAAGAAGTTGACAAAAAGATCAAATCCAGGAATTGGTGATAATAAAGTATAATGGGAGATTTACAAGCACTTTTTAAAAGCCGGTCATTTTGGACCTGGAATGCTTGATTAAATAAAGGAGTTTCAGCACATCACATGAGCTAACTCTCTTAAAAAAAATAATAAAAAATCATCAAAAAGAGCTGTCAGCGAGCAACACGTTATTGTGCTGAATGACACACAGCAGGTGTTGTTTTTGGAGAGAAAAAAAACGTATTTGTCATTGGCATGGGATACATTTCCCACTAAACAGCTATTAATTAAGCTTCATCAGTGTTAAGATCATCTTTTGTAGATCTCTATCTCACACACATACACAATCTCACGGGCAAGACAGCAGGAGGAGTTGATGTGTTGCTCTGCCCTGTAACCATCATCTCTGTTTTGACTGAGTAAAGAGAGATAAAAGCCTTTAGATTTGATGATAAAGTCAGTTTGCAGCACCAGACACGTGTTGCTTCACCCAACATGTGGATGTACATCAGTGAATCCCCGGAAGACTTTGCTTTAAATAAAACCTCACACTGGATATTTATACAGCGTGACAGATGCTTTAAGATCTTCTGAAGAACTGTGATCTCACATCGTGCATGCTAGTCAGAAAACTTTGGAGAAAAGTTATATACAGCTTTTTAATTTTTGAATCAATTCTTTGAAGGACAGCTTGAATTGATTTAAGAAATGTTATACTAATAGCAAGTTGCTACTGAATTTTAAATCAAATATGTTATTAAAACACTGAAACAGGATGCTGTAATACTTATGTGACATGGAAGCGGTTGGGCAACTTAAAAAATATGGCTTCATTTTATATTTCCAGCAAAATCATGACAAATACCTCATGAATATTCAATATATCCCCCAGCACTGCTGTTTAGACATGTATGATCATATCATTACCTGCCAGGCAATCAGATCCTTTAGCTTTTCAATCTTCTCCTGGTCATTTGGATGTTCACGGATGTATTTCTCAGTGAAAAACGCCTATAGATGATAAAACAACAACTATAAGTAAAAAACAAAACAAAACAAAAACACATACAACCCTCTAAATATACACTACCATTCAAAAGTTTGATGTCAGCAAGATTGTTTTGAATAAATCAGTATTTTTATTCAGCAAGGATGCATTAAATTGATCAAAAGGGACAGTAAAGACTTTTATAATGCTATAATTTCAATTTCAAATCACAGCTGCATTCAAAGCAAAACTGTTTTCAACACTGATACTAAGAAATGTTTCTTGAGCATCAAATCAGCATATTAGAATTAGAATCATGTGACACTGAAGACCGCAGTAATGATGCTGAAAATTCAGCTTTCATCACAGGAATAAATGACTTTTTAAAATATATTCAAATAGAAAGCAGTTATTTTAAATTGCAAATATATTTCACCATTTTACTGTATTTTTGATCACATAAATGCAGCCTTGATGAGCATGAGAAACTTCTTTCATAATATAAAATGGTTTAAATTGTTTATACAATCAACTTCTGTTGCTTCACTGTGTTTAATCTTTGTGCCAGAATAATCTCATACCTTCTCATAATTAGTGAAGCCGCCCATGACAGCTGGGTCCACGATGCCGTTGAGGAGCATAGAAAGGGGGTTGATGGGAAGGCTGGGGTCGTTTAAGTGGCGCTGGACCATGTTGTTGATTTTCTCATTGGTCAGTTGCATTGTCTCCATAGCATTTTCCAGCGGACTGATTTCCTCCTGCATACAGAAGCAAAAACATATTTATATAACAAAGGATGATTTACAAAGCAATAAACAAGCAGAATAAATGTACACAAATTTACTAGCAAAGCAGCACATGATGACTCTTACTTAACCAGCTGTCTAACACGTTACTGTTACACAACAACCAAAGTTGCAATCCAACAAACAAACTCCACTAATGAGCAGCGAAACAACAATTTCAAGTCAAATTGCGTGTCATAGTCTACACTGAACCATTTACTGATGTACTAATGAATGGGTTAACGTGTTCTCTTCGAATATCTGGCTCCCGTAATGCATCTGTGACAGGATCTGAAATCAATGTGTCTATCTCGGGAAACTCGTGCCAGCGAGGCTAATGAGAACGAAAGCACACGTGAAGCGTCAGAGAAAACAATCGCATCGGAGTGAGACGGTGAGAAGGAGAGCTAAAAAGAGACTGTGCAAATTAGAACGGATAAACACCAGGGCATGCAGTCTGGGTATCACATGATGCTAGAGCCGCTCTACAGTCAAATATCTGCATGCAGCGTGCCAGCACACGTAACCACGACTCCCTCGGTGCAGGACGGATTCAGGACGACATGACCAGAATAGCATGATCGACAGATATGAGAGAGACAGGTCATGTCTGCTATAATGGAGTGTGGTGAGAGTGAGACAGGTCTATTTTCCTTTTGGGGTTTAAAAGACATTTAATATTCAGCAATATTATTGATTTGACTGCACTGATGCTATCGGATGAGAACAAAACTTGAACTAATGACATCTGTCTTCCGTAGAGTCGCTTTATAGCTGAATCAAACTCTTAGGGTCACCATACTTCCTCTTTTTCCTGTCTGGGATTTCCAAACAGCCTAAAATGTCCAGGTTTTGGCTTTGTCCAGGCTAGACTCTGGAATGCACTCCCTTCCCATATCAGGGAATGTGTATATCTAAAAACATACTTTTTTAGGTTAGCTTTTACTTGATTGTTTTAACCGTTTTTGCTTTGCATGTTTTGTATTTTTTATTCCACGCACACACAGCATGCAGGCATTGTACATAATCGAGAAGGCGGGATCTACTGAGAACGGTCAAAGCAATGCAAATATACATACGCATACAATTTGTGGGCAACGCTAAAACTTGGACATTTAGGCAATTTAGAAATCCCAGCTAGGACATTTCCAGGAAAAAGAGGACGTATGGTCACCCTCTGAACAACATCAAAATTGAACTAACTTCAGCTGAATAATGATGCTATTGTCTTCTGTAGAGCTGTTTATTTATGTGAACTGAATTCAGTAATTGATTAATTTTGCAACAATAAGGCGTGTTCACTCTAGAGAGAGTGCAAGAAATACAGCACACATTTACTGCAACAGATCACATCTTGAGACAAGCTCCTTAAAAATATCTACTTAAAATACAAAATGCATTAAAAACGCAACATTGAGTGCTGAACTCCTGTCAAGCAACTCCCGTCATGCAGTGCAAAAACTTCAAAACAAAACAAAAAAAGCTTTTCATGTTGATCAGCAAGTCTTTGGCAATTCAATCAAATAACACCAAAGAGTGTCTTTGTCTTCTTGAGAAAATATTTGAGAACTTAGGAACTTTCTTACATACAGTACTTCTCAATATTTATCTTTGCTTTTTTCCTTAGAAGAATTTAGTGAATATGGTGAGAATTAGAATATGGTGCTGTTGTTGTATTCTTCAACAAATCTTACATTCAACTATATAATAAATACAATATAATAAAAACAAACCTCTTATAAAATTCAACTTGGATTAAAAAAAGACACGATTTTGTACAAACAATTCAAAAAATATATTCTATAAATGTACTTATGATAAAAGTTTTTCTGGGTCCGTCTTATAAAATAAGTTTGTCCTGACAAAAATCATTGTCTCATAACATTAAAAATTAGGTAGACCAAGATCATATGTTTTATGGACAAGCTGGTGCTACAGTATTGAACTTTTGGAGCTTCTTCACCCTTTAATAAATGCCCATGGTTCATTAGACTATGGCGAGTAAAACAGGTTAGGTCTACTTTAGACTGCAGAAGCGGGTGAGATGGGTCAAATCTACTGTATCAGAGTTCAGTCAAGGTGAAGTGAGACAGGTAAAGGCTGCTCATTTTCCTTCAAAGCATTAAGAATCGCTGATATAATGAACCACTGCGGATGCTAAAGCTGTTGTACTCACCGCTGAGACGGACACCACTTCAAACCAGCGCAGGATGCCCGGCAGCTTATAGGCGGTTACGAAAGTCGTCCTTTCAATCCACATGTTCTTTTGGAAGAATGGAAAAAATTGAGCAAAACATTAAGTGAACAGTTAGCAGAATGAAAGCTTTTAGCAAAGGGCCACATTTCAGGTAAAGAGTGGCCGCAATTTATTCCTGCATGTTTTTTTTCTTCAATTTAAGCCTCCGTTTACTGGATTTTAATGGATGTTTACCAATAGCAGATGTAAGAGGAAGCCATAGAGGTGGGACAGACTTTATATTTTAGTATAACGGTGCTGTGTTCTCAGGTTTGACGTGTTGCTGTAATAACTCAGCGTGAAGCTATCTTAAAAGGTTTTTAGACAAACGGCCATTTGAAAAACAGTTCTGAATTCTTCTAAATGAGGAACTGCAGAGCACTTAAGTTCACGCAAGCACTGAGTGAAATAACAAAAGGAGAAATGTTATAGTCACAGAAAAGCAAAAGGAAACTCACAGCGAACTCATTGTCCGGATCTTTCTCTCCCTTCCGGACCGGCCGTGAATACTGGAATTTCTGGACTTCATTCACGGTGTAAAAGCTGAAAAAATAAAAAGTGAATGATTCATTCCCAGAACGTTTGGTGGTTTCGAGAGGGTTGCATTAGGTCAAGAGGCTGGAGATACATGTGCATGCTTCTAAAAGCGGCCTTGATGATGAACAACAATCGTGTGCCATCAAGGACGTGCTTGAAAAGAGGAAATCTAAACACTGGACAAGTGTTTGCGAATGAATCTTTTACCTGAGTTTACTACCGAGACTCATCAGCATGCTGACCATTCTCCGATATTTTGAGCTTATTTGATCACAAAAAGTACAAAATGCAAATTTCCCCCCAAAAAACTTGACAGCTTTTCAGATTTTCTGCATTTCAAGACTGACTATAACACGACTACACAGCTTTATAGTGCTGTCTGTGAAAGAGCATATCATTGACTGGACAAACTTACTGAACAAATACGCCTGTCACGGAATTAAATGCTGTTTTTAATCTGAACAAGACGCTGAGTGAGAGATGAACGAGTGTAAATGACTGATGACTATACACAATTAACATGACATCGGTCTGATGGCAATGCGCTGCTTTTGTGCGCACTGAACAAAACGGATAAGTAGCTTTCCCAGCAGTGGAAGTGAAACTCATAATTAATTTATTTTTGGCAATTTGACTAAATGAAGGAAAATAGATCTGCTTTGTTGTCAGTTCTGGAGAAAACGCTTAAAATGACTCTCTTTTGAATCTCTCAGTAGAGCTGCAGACATTTGAAACATAATAAAAGTTAATAAGGCTAATATCAGTGGTGCTTCTGTTGAGAAAATGATTCAGTGGAGCAGCTTACACACTACTGTAACAACTGCATAACAACAATACTTAAAGTCATGTACTTTTCAACTGCTACATAAAGAGTCACCGAACGAACCAATGAACGGATCTTTAAAGGATAGTTGACTCGAGAATGAAAATTCAGTGAACATTTACTCTTCTCATGTCATTCTTCTGTAGATCATAAAAGGAGATATTTTCAGTGTGTTTTTAACCATACAATTTGAGCCAAAACTGGTTGTTTAATAACTTTCTAAAAAAGTGGAAGGTAAACTAATTGGTTGCTTTACATATCAGTCATTTAGTCTCTTTCTGTTGGTTCTTGGTCAGAACAAGCTGCAATGGATCAGACCTATTGCTTTTTAGTCAAAGATTTGGCTACGCGAGAACGATTTCCTAATTACACCACCGACATTAACAAAACAACCACAAACTCGTCAACAGTGCAGCCAAACCCATTCAGACTAGCATGCAGATGAGTACAGGTGTCCTCTTTCTCTGTGCCATTATGCCTGAATGATAAAATATCTGTTTTGCAATTAAATGAAAAAGAAAGAGAGGGAATAAGGTGAGAATTTAGACCATTTGACCTTCCCAGTTCACCAATCCACATATATTCCAGGCGCGGTCAGACTTGTGCAATGCACCTTAAATGAGCATGACGGTGCTAACATGCTTAGAGTCATGCCTCTGCACTGGGTTATCAACAGATTTAAATCGGATTTAAAAAGACACAGATAACCAATTACAATATTTACAAATGTATTAGCTGCAGGGGAGAGAGATCCAGCCTGGGGCATGAGAGGAGAAACGCAAAAATTAACCTCAACTGTGACATGAAGGATCAGGCCAGCGTTCAATCACTGAAGTTATCCACCCCTTAAGCTCCTCTACATGTTCACGCTCCAGTGAGCTCATAGAAATCACATCCTGTCATGTGACCTTTGGCTCTGATGCGTATTTACTCAGAATTGTGGGTAAATAGTGAGTTTTAATTGCTTTTCATGCTCCCTGGCGGCTCTGATTGGCTGCGGTAAGCCGTCTCTGACGCTCTATCAAGATCAGTGATAATGCCGCTGTTTACCCCGTAACACAGAATTTAGCCTGAAACAGAATAGTGTTTCTGCTGCAGGTTTGTGTGCGTGTGATTTATTAAAGCACAGAGGGGTGTAGTAAGGTCAAACACTGTTTGCTCACTGCACATTTCCATTTTAATCAGCGGGGTGAGTTGCTCTAAAGCACACAAACCCCAGAGATCTGCCTGCCGGTTTACTGACCCATCACACACACACACACGCGCGCACACACACACGCACGCGCATACACACACACACACACACACACACACACACACACATTCCTCTCTCGCTGGTTCTCTATCTCTCTCGCTCACTCTCTAGATGGATGACTGAGTTCTGCCTTCTGTTTGCACTGCCATACTAATGAATGAGTCAGCTGGGAATATGTAATACTGTGAAAAGGTCACCGGAGGCATGTGTATCACATTACTGTTAATGATAATAAAAAGAACAATCTGTGCAAATCCATCTTTGAAGTCATTTTTATTCCTTCCTACTGTGAGTGATTTTATCTGTCATTACTCTTTTCCTTTCTGTTGTGGGCTGGTGGATATGCAGGGAAAATGTACTGTAAAAATTTATCTCCCATTGTATCTGTTTCACTGATCCACAGTTATC